ACTAGCAATATTAGGGACAATACAAGAACAGGATTTACGATTGAAAGATATCTTAGAAGCCATACAGTCCAAATCTTTTAATTTTATAAATGAGCAAAGTTCTAAGGTTCTTGCCTAAGGTCATAACAGGTAGAAGTAACAGAGATAAGCTCTGAATTCAAGTTCTCTGACTCCAAAATCAGCATTCTTGCCCAGTGTATGTTACAAAATTCCTGTAACAAATAAATCCAATCAAGCAAAATCAATTCTCATATTTGACATGTCTGAAAATGTCTTATTCTGAATCTTTACTTCATCACCTTTCTATAAAGAGCAGCCATTACACTGATTTGGATGTGCAAGTCTTTGAGTTATTTTTCTTTAAAATGTTGTCATTCTCTTATTTCTGCTCATTTTACTCTAAAGGGTGTACCCAATGTTCTTTGAAACCATCCAGTCCATTATTTCTCATGGTGTAAGAATATTATTATATCTGTAAACTTATCTGTTAAGGTGTGCTTGATAGTCATCTTTTAGTTTCTAGTTCTTTATTATAAAAAGAATAGCTATAAATATATACATTTTTGTACATGAGTCCCTTTCTTCTTCTCTTTGATCATTTTAGAGTACAGGCCTAGCAATAGTTGAGCTCAAAATGGCTACTGTAAATTAGATTGGGGGGCAAAGGGGAGGAAGGCTGTAAAAGTTCATGTCACTCAATGATAAAAGTTCTTCTGAGTCAATCTGTAAGAATACAAATCACGTGGGGGGCAGCTAGGTGGTGCAGTGGAGACAGCACCAGCCCTGAAGTCAGGAGGACCTGACCTCAAATCCAGCTTCAGACCAAACACTTGACACTGACTAGCTGTGTGACCTTAGGCAAGTCACTTAACCCCAATTGCCTTTATAAAAAAAAAAAAAAAAGGAATACAAATCACTCCACAACTGACAAATGGTCAAAGGATATGAACAGGCAGTTTTCAGATGAAGAAATCAAAGCTATCTATAATCATATGAAAAAATACTCTAAATAATTATTAGAGAAATGCAAATGAAAAAGACTCTGAGGTACCACTTCACACCTATCAGATTGACTAATATGACAAAAAGGAAAATGATAAATGCTAGAAGGGATGTGGGAAAATTGGGACACTAATGCACTCTTGGTGGTATTGTATTGTGAACTGATCCAACCATTCTGGAGAACAATTTGAAACCATGCCCAAAGAGTTATAAAACTGTATATCCTTTGACCCAGCAATACCACTACTATACCTGTATCTCAAAGAGATCAAAGAAAAAGGAAAATGACATATTTATAGCCAGCTCTTTTTGTGGTGGCAAAGAACTAGAAATTGAGGGGATGTCCATCGATTGGGGAATGGCCGAACAAGTTGTGGGATATGATTGTGATGAAATACTACTGTGCTATAAGAAATGACAAGCAGGCGGATTTCAGAAAAACCTGAAAAGGTCTACATTAACTGATACAGAGCGATGTAAACAGAACCAAGAGAACATTTTACACAGTGACAACAATAATGTAAGATGATCAACTGTGAATGACCTAGCTATTCTCAGCAACACAATGATCTAAGACAATTCCAAAGGATTTATGATGAAAAATGCTATCCACGTCCAGAGAAAGAACTGATAAAAGTCTGAATGCAAAACAAAGCATACTGTTTTTCACTATTTTGGCATTTTTCCCCTTTTGGTCTGCTTTCTTCCACAACAAAACTAATACAGAAAAATGTTTTTCATGACTATAAGTATATAACCTATATCAAACTGCTTACCACCTCAGGCAGGGGAGAAGGGAGGGAGGGAGAAAGAGAACTGAACTCAAAATTTTAAAAACCAAATGTTAAAAATTGTTTTTGCATGCAATTGGGAAAAAATAAAATATCATTTAAAAAAAATAAAGTTTTTGTGTCCTTTTTTGTCCTACTCTTCTGGGTAAGATTACACCCCACAGGCCTGGGTGGAGAGTGATTCTTAGAAACTTAACAGGCCTGCGCACTTCTTTGCATGCCCCAGTCTGAGTAGGTCAATTCAATTTCAATTAAGAGTGACTTTTCTGCCACTTGTCACACACAGGTGCAAAAATTTCTAGTTACTATACTGTCATTCATTCAAACTGGCAAAATAAAGTTGAAGCTTTGAAATATGCTTGCAGAGAAATGAGAATACTCATTCACTACTAAATTAACTGCAAATCCATTGAATCTTTTTGGATTTGGACAATATGGAAGAGGAGAGTAAAAGTTAGAAAAAATAATCATACTCTTTGACCCAAAGTTCCATTGTGAGGAACATACCCTAAAAGTGCTATTTAAAAGAGAGAAAGGGGGGGGGAGAAAGAGGGAGAGAGAGAGAGGGAGAGGGAGAGGGAGAGAGATTTTTATAAATTGCAGAAGCTGCAAACAACATCCAATAGGCAAAGGTTAACAACAAAAACTGTAGTACATTAATGTGATGGAATATCATATGGCAATGAAGAGCAAGAAATCTAAGTAAACAAATATGAAGAGACGTTTATGAAATAATGCAAAACAAATACAGGAGAACCAGAAGGATGGAGTATAGACTAACAATTCACACTTAAGAGAAAAGTAGATAAGAAGGAAGTCAAAAATAGAATCCTAATGAAGACTTAAATGCTATAAATGAAAAAGTTTAGACTGTTTTATGAACTAAAATTAATTTAAATGTAAGTTACTCAAGTTTAAGTTCTTCTGTACTCTGCCTGCTCAGACACCATCTCGGGTATTACTGTTTTAGGCTCCACACTTTAGAGAGGAAATTACTAAGCTAGAGAATGGCTATTGGATGGACAACCAGGATGGTCCAGTCCATACCATGAATGTCAGCTAAAGGAAACAGGTATGACTAGCCAGAAGAAGACTGAGGAGGAGAAGAGAAATGAAATCTGTCTGCAAGTATGTGAAGAGCCATATAATGTGGAAGAGCAGAATTAAACTTGTTCTTCTTAGCCACAGAAGGTTTTACTGGAACTAATTAAGTTACGAAAGGTCAAATTTAGGCTTCACATAAGTTCCTTTTTAAAACACTCTTAAGAATTGGATGTCATCAAAGGTGGAATGGGTTGGTTGCCTTAGGAGGATTCCTATCATTGGAGGCCTTCCAGCAAAGGCTGTTGCCTATGTTGTAGAAGGGATTCTTCTTCAAGCATGGGTTGACGAGTTTCTACGATCTCTTAAAACCATGATATTATCTTACCAGATGAAGGTTTCCAAGAATTTGGTACAAGTTATTTTACACCTCCCTGAAAGGATATTTTTTTCATTTCCCTGAAAGGGCTCACTTAAAGACTAAAGGGCTATTAAGAATCCCAATCACAAGAAAAGAGATTTGGGATCACAGAAGATCAATGTAAACTCTGAAAAGCCTCTCCAGCTCTAAAATTCCATACCATTATAAAATACATCTACAATGAAACAAGTAGCAGTTACAAATTACCTCCTTGCAAATAAATTCTATCAATTCTCTCTTCCCCCAACTGCTGATCTATAAAAGCCTCCCTGGAACAAACTTTTAAAACACAGCTTCAGTCAATTAACTCTAAAATACATTTCAAAAAACATTTGGTAATTACTATAAACTTAATGGGAAAAGTGATGATTCTGTTAAAAAAAAATACCACATCCTTACGCTCAAGATAAACACTTCTAAACTTCTAAAATATCCATAAAGTACTACCCCTGCTTTTTCTACCTTGGACTAATAAGAAATTGACATTTGATCTGATTGTATATTTCAAATAACAGAAATAAAATTTTGAGTACTACATAAAGTTACCAAATTTACTTGATATCAATAATTAAGATGCTAAATAAGAATTATAAAATGTTGAACTGTTCTTGATTGAGATAAAAGTATACTAAATGATGTGATAGGAAAAGAAATGAAACTTTGTATAAAACTGGTTACCAAACTGGTACAAAATAAGACCTCAGTACTTTTAAAGTTCTTTTACCTTTTTTTTAAAACACAATGCAAAAAAAAAATTCAAATCACTGTTGCTTTTCAAACTTTTCAAAGCATTCTTCCATTTGAAGGCGCAAGCGTGTGTGTGTGTGTGTGTGTGTGCGCGCGCGCGCACGCGCGCGCACACACACACACACTTTCTGAATGGTCATATTCCAGTTCTTTAAAAGTGTTTTTATGTGTCTGGTGTATGGGTGTTAAACTCAAAATGTCACTTTAAAAAAAACCTATCCAATCATGGGCTGGTGCCATTCATGCTAAATTGGGGGGAAGACAGAAAGAGTGGTACAAATGACATTTGTGATAATATTAAATATTTTGGATCATCAGCTTCATTCAAATTCGTCAACAACCACACAGTTTAAGGTTGCCCCTGTCTTTCTTTTTAAGACATTAATGAAGTAGCTCTTTTTTAAACATATAATGAAATAAAATAAGAGAAACATGCAAATATTATATATTTTTTAACAGACTCTGAATCGCAAGCTGAATTCCCTTTTAACTTTACAAAGGAAATAAGATAGAAAGGCTTAGTTAAGGTTAAGGAATTACTTTTCTAGAGAAAATGTATAGAATTTCAAAATACTGTATCACTTCTAACTAATGATTCCATAATGACAATCCATCAAAAGAAAACTTTTTAAAGTTAAATAATCTTAAGTGATTACTTTGCAAAGAAAATAAGTTTTAGATATATAACAAATGCTTTAAATATTTCCAAAAACTATCAAAAATGACTCACTGAATGGGAGGAACAAATTTTTCTTCATGAAGTTAATGAGGCTCTATTAATTCTGTAAATTATTACTAATCTTTCCCTCATTTGGAACTAGTTATTTCTATTTTTTCTAACTTCACAAAATTCTGAGATATTAAAATCTGCTTGTGACAAAAGAATCAGTTTTTGGTAGTATACTGATTTCCAAATTAGTAGGTAGTCTTAACATACATTAAAAACTATCACACAGGGAAATTCAGGAAATTCAATTTCTTAAGCTTATTATACTTACTAGATGAGAACTGTCTTTTACTTCTTGCACTTGCTGCACCTGCGGTTCAGCCACAACTTTAGTGTCCTGATCAGAAGTCATGAGCTGTCTACTTTATGACTCTTCAGAGAGAACTTTGCTGGTAATTTTCTTGTGCTATGAAGTAACAAAAAGTGAAAACAGTGTAAAAAGCTGTACGAAGAATTCTGTATTAATAATTTTTAAAATGAACCCACTTTAGTAGTATACTACATATTAATATACTATAGATTACATACAGTAGATTAATGAAAACCTTGAAGCTGTCAGCTTTTGATTTTAAGTGCTTTGTTGTTGTTATTCAGTGTTTTAGCTGTGTCCAACACTCCGTGACCCCATTTGAGGTTTTCTTAGCAAGGTTACTAGAGTGGTCTGCCATTTCTTCCTCTAGCTCATTTTATAGATGAGGTACTGAGGCAAACAGGTTAAGTGACTTGCCCAGAGTCACACAATTAGTAAGTTTGTGTGCAGCCAAATTTGAATGTGGGAAGAGATGTCTTCCTGACACCAGGCCAAGCACTTTGTCCACTGTGCCACCCAGCTGCCCCTTATTCTTCTGCATCTTCTTTTAAAAGAATGTTCTAAATAAAAAATCGATACAATGTAAATCTACTCAGTCTTAAGAAACAATTCACTAATGAGCTACTTTTGAGATTAAATATTGATTAAGGAAATATCCTCAAACTCAGTAACCATACATTATCATGTTTAACCATAATTCATATAATATTTACACTCCACATCACACCAAGTAACACCAATCTGTACTTACATTTCCTAAATAAAAAAAGTATCACTTTAATTCCTATGTTAATAGTAAATTAAAAACAAAAAGCAGATAGCTTTAATTTAATTAAAACACTATATTCTTAACATTTTACTTCACTGACCATGTCAAAATTTGAAAACATACTTAACTTTTTAAAGTAGAATGGCTATCGTGGTATGTGTGACTATTTAAATTTCTAACAATTTACCTAAAAGAATATAAGAGCTTGACTTTAGCTAAGAATCTTGATATATAATTATAGGATAACAGATTTAGAGTTGGAAGGAAACTCAGAAGTCACTTGATTTAATCTTCATTTTATAAATGAAGAAAGTAAGGCCAAAAGAGGGTAAGTGACTCGCACAAGGTAACACAGGAAGTAAAACACAGAACCAGTAATCAAATCTAGTTCCCCCAACTCCAAATGCAAGGCTTTTTCCATAGGGGTACACCATTACTCCTATAAATAGTAATTTAATGAGAGAAATTGCAGGGTGAGGAAATGGCAGAGAAAGTTTAACTATGGCTGACACCATGAAAAAATTATAGGAGGTGTGCTTACACAAGTGTTCCCTCAAATATTTGCCATTCACTACTCACCATCTTCCCTTGAGATTTCTTAAATAATCACTTTTAAAAATAAATGCTTCTGTGGATAGATCATTGACCCTGAAGTCTGGAAGACCTGAGTTCAAATCCAGCCTCAGACCAAACACTTGACACTCACTAAATGTGTGACCCTGGGCAAGTCACTTAACCCCAACTGCCTTAAAAAAATAAATAAACAAACAAACAAATGAATAAATGTTTCTAAACATTTTCAGGCCTGATAGAAAATCAAGAATTTCCAGAAAAGAAATGTAGAAATATATTTTATTTCACTGGGTTCCTACAGAAAGAACTCAGTGACAACAATCCCATAGTATCACTGACCCCATATACCAAACTATTAAAAGGCTTAGGCAAAGTCTAAGCTATGTTCCATGTTTATGTACAGAGAAATAAAAAAAGCCAAAATTATATGGCCCCATTATGAAAAGGAGAAAAAAAAATCAAATATATAGATAGCTGAAAAACTAGAATGTGAGCTATTAAATCTAACATAAGAATAACTGGAAATACAATTGAATCAGTGTCACAACAGCAATGTTTGATAATAAGTATAAAGTTATCAAGGACTACAGTTTAATGAAACAATATCATCTGCATGTCACTCACAAATTTACAGCGTATATGTAAAAATATACAAAATTTGCTACACACAACCCTAAAAAATAAATATTAATGCCAGCATCCTCCCCATTTTATGGGTGAAGAAAATGAGGCTCAAAGAGTTTAAGTGACTTGCCCAAAGTCATAGTGTTAAGACTTAACACTAAAAACTACTGATCCACTTAAAATAGCACCACCTATGCCTGGTGCTAATAAAAGCAAAACAATTCTAATATTGAAGGAAATTACATTCATTGGAGGACACAGATTTGCACATGTGCACGCATATACACACACACACACGCGCGCGCACACACACACACACACCACACACACACACACAGAGTATTCTTGAGAAGAAGGTACTAAAAGCTGAGGATACCAAGAGAAGACTCATGAAGATAATGCTTGATGAGTCCTTAAAGAAATTAGGGATTCTTAGACGCTGAGGTGAGGAAACTGATTCCAGAGATGTGGGACAAGTGCTAAGGCACAGTGATAGGAGATAGAGATGTGTTAGAACAGCAAAATGGTCAGTTTGACTGTACTTTTGAGTGTATGAAGGGGAGTAATGGATGATAACATTATGCACTCTAAAAGAGTTTATATTTGATTGAGTTTGTAGCAATCCTGGAGTTTATATTGAGTTTGTTGAGTAGGATAACATAGTCAGACTTACTCTTAAGGAAATTTATTTTGGCTAGTGTGTGAAGGCTATATTGGAGAAGGGAGAAATAAATATGAGACAGGAAGCACCAAGAGGCAATTTCAATAGTCCAAGCATGAAGTGACAGGAACTTAACTGATGTGGTAGTTTTATGAATGGAGAAGAAGGTACACATTCAAGAGATGTCATGGAAATAGAAATGGCACAATAATAACTGAAATCAGCAGCTAGATGGCACAGTGGGCAGAGCCTGAAGTCGGGAAATCTCATCTTCCCAAGTTTAAACGTGGCCTCAGACACTTACAACTTTCAATCATTTTCCTTTTTTTTCACCTAATAAACCTAAAACTTAAAATAAAGTCTTCAGTAGGCAGCTAGGTGGTACAGCAGATAGAGCACTGGGCTTGGAATCAAGAAGACTCATCTTTCTGAGTTCAAATCAGCCTCAGACACTTATTAGCTGTGTGACCCTGGGCAAGTCACTTAAAGCCCGTTTGCCTCAGTTCTCATCTGTAAAATGAGCTGGACAAGGAAATGGCAAAACATTCCAGTATCTGGACCAAGAAAACCCTAACCGGAACCACAGAGAGTCGCATGACTGAACCAACTGAACAACAATTGAAAGACATGTTTATCCACCAGCTTCTAAACTGCCAGAACTGACACAACAGGAAATAGTTTAAATGGACCAATGTCTGAAGAACTAGGTAGGACAAATCATCCTGCCAAAAAAAAGCATCTGGTCTAAACTCTTTCACAACAGGACATCTGAGATTTTCTAAGAACAAAGAATCCCTGAGTTACATAGATTATTCATTCAAATATAAGGACAAACATTGGAATTATGCAATACCTTTGGGCAAACATAGTACTGATTTTTAAAAAAAACACTAAAATAAAATGGACCATTTTAAATAATAAATGTTAACACAAAAATACTAATTAAATAGCCATAGAACACAGGAGTATGCTAAGAAAATTATTCATCATGACGTACCAGGGTTTGTACCAGACCTACAAGATTGGTTCAATATCAAAAGACTTACCAACATCGTAAAACATAAACAAAAAAACTCAAATTCTATGGGGGAAAAAAACTTCAATTAAGAATCAATTTGGATTTGTTTTAAAAACACCTCAAGAATATAGAGAGATTTTTCCATAATACAATAAAAATTGTCTTACATCAAAAGTTAATATAACATGCAATTGAAAGACATAAGAATTTCTAATAAAAACAAACAGCAAGAATACTCACTGCTTTTATTTTGTATAATATCAAAACTTCTAGAATTACAACAAAACAGAAGATATTGGATGAATTAACATCAGAAAGAAAGAGATCAAAATGTAATGTTCTGCAGATGACAAGGAAGTGTATCCAAAAAATTTGGTCACTTTAAAAAATATTAATGGAGACAAATGAGTTCGGCAGAGTTCTAGGATACAAATTAACCTTTTAAAAATCTGCATTTTTATTTACCGGTAAGAAAACATGATTAAAAAAAGAAACATCATTTGCAGTAACACAAACCTATCCATTGTTAAGTACTGGACTTGGAGTTAAGCAGACCCCAAGTTTGAATGCTGCCTTTGTCACATATCAACTGTCACATATCCTGAGCAAATAATCATTTTCTTCTAGCCTGTTTCATCATCTGTAAAATGAGGATAATAACAGTACCTATTTCATGAGGATCAACAACAAAATACATAAAAAGCTCTTTGCTAACAATGCATATTGTCATTTATATATGTAATATATAAATGTTACATATGAAGAAGGCTACAAAAGTACAGTAAAATTAAAAGGGGATCTAAATAACTGGAGGAACGCTCAATGCTTGTATATGGATCAGGTTAATACAGTAAAAGTATTTCCCAAATTTACTTATATATTTAATGCAACACTAATCACAATACAAATGAACTTCTTTATAGAACTGATCATTCATGACAAAATATATATGGGGGAAAAACCAAGTTTTTATTGCGCACCTACTCAGTGCAGGCTATTATACTGAAGATACAGAGAGACTAAAGTAAGGAGAGTAGTGTATTTCCAACGTAAGAGAGGTCAGGTCAAAGGCATAGTGAGTGACATTGGAGGGTACAGTGTGAAGAGCAGATAGAAAATTTGCCAGCATGACAAGAGTTTGGGTGGAAGAGTATTGTTCATTAAGGCTGAAAAGAAAGTTTAGGGCTTACTCGCATAGAACTTTAAAAGCTAAACAGAGGAGTTATATTTCATCCTAGAGTTAACAGGAAAACTATTAGAGTCACTAAAGTTGGGGATTCATGAGGTCAGAACTATGCTGAGGTAAAATTACTTCAGCTGCAAATTGTTAAGGATTGATTCAAGTAGGAAATGGCCAGTTGCAGGGAGGCCACTTAGGAGGCAAGAATATTAAGGTTTACATGGAAAAGAAAAACTGATACAGGAAGGGTGCTAGGAGTGGTTCTAATACT